TAGACACTTACTATATATATATATATATATATATATATATATATATATATAAGACAATAACACTTCTTCTCTAACGCCCTTTAAAAGTTATATTTTTAATAAATTAAAAATATGAAATATTAAGTAATGCTGACATTACTTTTATTTCTATCAACTTTATATCTTTATCGTTATATAATAAATAAAGAAGTCGTGCTACACGTACAACAATCTTTTAGTTGTACAAGAAAGCCAGCACTATGGATATTATAAGCACCCAAAATTCTTTTAACATTATCTTTCAGGACTTAGCATAAGTTTTTTTTTTTTTTTTAAGAGCAAATTAGTGATATATTAAAGTATAAATTAGATGGCCCACACTACAAGCGAGCAAAATAGAAAGCTCTCATATAAGAATATCTTTCAAAAGGTTCTCCCTGTCAAACAACCCACCTCTAAAAACACAGTGATTTCTAAGACTCCAAATACACCATATATATTGTGGTACATCAAACAACATGCCATATTTCCACTTCTGATTTTGTAGAGAAGGGGAATGATATAAAAGAGAAGTGTTGGAATAAAAACTCATAATTCAACAACATCAAAACATAAGAAATCTTGTAAATGGCACTAAATATAAATCCAATAGTAAGAAAAAAGAAGAAAAAATTATTTCTTGACACTACCATCACCAATAAAGCAATCAATTTTTCCATTTAGATCAACAAAAAAATCAATAATATCTAAGTGTCCATAATTAGAATCATAGTTTTCATATACAAAATGTGTCATTATCTTTTTCTTCTTATTTTTAAGTGATTCTTTGTAAAGTTCGATAAGATACTTTGATGTATGACAAATAAGTGACCAATAACCTTGTCACCACAATGATAACATATGTTTTTCCTCATGTTTGTTACCATGTCCACCATTTTTCTTCTTAGTTTTCCCATTATTTTTTCACTTCTAGTGCTAAAAAATATTCATATAATTTTCTTTATAACCATGACCATGACTACCTCCACAACCGTGGTCATGACCACAATGACGACTACCTCCATAACCATGACGCTACTTTCATAACCACTAATTTGTCTGTCATATGTTATTGCATTCACTTAAAGAAATGGAGTATAATCAATTGGACAAGTCTCGTGATTTGATAATAAAACACAATTATTTTGCTCAGTCACAAGGAGATAAGAAATTAATTTAAAATATTTCTTAAACCTTTTTTTTCTATATTGTTGTTGTAGGAGCAATTAGATGCATGAAAAGTGAAGAATTTTTTCTAACATATCTTCATCAGTAATTTTTTTTCTCTACACAATCTTAATTTTAAAGTAATTCTAAATATTGTAGAATTATATTCACATATTTAAAATCTTGTAAATGTAAATGCATCTGATCATAATGAACTTTTAAAAAGATCGTAGTTTTTTAGCAATCAAATATTTCTTTTAAATAGTATATAAAATTTAAATTTAGAAGAAAAAATATAGTATCATCCTCGTACACAACGATTCAATTTAATCATTTTGTTCCTTTTTAGTTTTTGCAATATTTTCCACTTTTGGTTTGAGAAAAATAATAAATATGAAATTTTCTTTTTTATATAGGGTCTTTTAGACACATTTTAGGAATGTTTGTAGAATTTTCTTTTTAATAGTGCCTTCGGGGATAAATATGATTTTCACAAATCATATAATCAATACAAATATTTTATCAAATATATAGTGTGAAAGATGAATAACCAACCTTGAAATATGAATTTGATGAAAAATATGGTTTTCTTCAATGTGGTTGAGCCCTTTGGTTTTTGGAAGGTAATGAACAACTAAACCATGCAACTTTTTCTTATATCTTGCAACAACAATGGAAAAAAGACTATTATGATGATAATGTATTATGAAAAGAAAGACAATGACAAAGAGAACAAAAAAGACAATATGAGAAAGAGAATATGACAAATTATTATTTCTAAGAGAATGTTAGCTTATTTATAGGCATATATATGATAGTTGAATAACTACAAAAGATAAAAATAATAACGATGGAATAAAATGGTCATAATATATATTGAATATGGACATCCATTAATTAAATCACCAATTAGAGCATCTCTAAAAATGTTTCTTATAAGTAACTTATTAAAATTCTTATTTTATTTTAAATGAGATACATCATTCTTAAGCAACCTAAACACACTACTACATTTTTACAAATTTTGCTTCAATGGTGGGATCTTAAACAATCCACACTTTATAATTTTCTCATTTACACTTCACTTTTTGACAACTTAAGAAATTAATGTAATTATTATAATTAAATATTAGTTTAATTAAACATAATAAATAATATTTTAGTATATAAAAAACAATATTAAAATTTACACAATTAATTTATTGTGTATAAAAATATTTAATATTAAAAATAAAGAAATTACATTAGAATGAAAATATATAACAATGATTAGTGACTAATTTAATTTTTTACTCATAAATAATGAAAATTTGATGATGCATAACTATTTTGTTTTTTAATTTGTGAGAATAGTTTATGTTCTTTATTGTTCATTTAAATAATCAAAATTAAAAACATTTTTTTAATTCATAAATAACATATTTATTTTAAAAAAATTATTATTTATTTTTAAAACAACTTATTATATCATCTCATCACACTTAAATAAAAATTGTTAACAAAAGGACAATTACTTACACTCTCCATTAGTCGTTGTTTATAGGAAGTCTTCCATTAAGAAATTTCAAAGCAAATTCACAGGAAATTTCTGAGAATTTTCCATCTCACAATTCATCTCCGGCATTATAATCAAAAGTGGTCAATAAGACTAGGAACATGATTGAAAGGTGAACTGTGGGCCATAAAATTACGACTTGACTGAAATGTCAAGAATAATATCAACTACATGTTCGTGTGAGGCAACAGTAAAAGCACTCCCAACTTATGTGTTGGGGCATCTTCGTGTGAGGTGCAACTGTAAAGCACTCCCAACAAATATGAGTTGGGAAAATAGACACTAAATTTTATTCTTTTAAACATCTTATCTATAACTTTTTATACTACCGGCCACTTGTTACGTTCATATTTTTTCTTTCTTTCTCATCAACTTTGGAATAGCATTTGACATGTGCAAAAACCAATTTTTATTTATATATTATTGAGTGAAAGCTAGGGTTTATATGTGTTGACGCGTATATTTTTTTATGCGTTGACGCGTGCTTGACCAAAGTCTTTATATATATATATATAAATTTTTCAAACCCTAAACACTAGAGTCTTTATATTCTAATTTTAATTTTTTTGAGAAATTATATTCTTATTAAAAACAAATATCTATTTGTAAGCTAATCTTTATAAGAGAACTGGTTAATCACCTTTAATAATTAAATTCTTTCTTTTCGATTTCTTTTATTTATATACAAAATTCGATCTCATACTTAGTTCACAACAATCAAGTCTAGTTGGTTGTGTCTTTATATGCTAGTAATCGGTTTTTGTCGCAAAGTTATTACTATATATATATGATTTAAAATTCCAAAATTAATTATGACATTCCAAACAACCCGTAAACTACAAGGTGAGTCAGCGCCAGTCAACCTTAAAAACACGCTCTCGAGAACTTTAAAAACGTATCACAACCCACACTTTCGATATTTCCAGAAACATTTGTCCCTGCATTGCATTCTCATAGTAATAATAGCAGTGTAGAACGTGCACAGTACCCGTTTTACATCAACGTAGTTAGGTTAAGCAGTTGCAATTGCTATGGCTTTCAATAGCAGCATCCAATGCAGCCCTTCTTCACATGAGATGATAAAGAAATATGACGTGTTTGTGAGCTTCAGAGGTAAGGACACACGCAACAATTTCACTGATCATTTTTTTGCTGCCCTCCATAGGAAAGGCATTCTTGCCTTTAGGGATGACACCAAGCTCAACAAAGGGCAACGTATATTGTCCAACCTCATGCAAGCCATTGAAGGGTCTCAGATTTTTGTTGTTGTCTTCTCAAAGAACTATGCTTCCTCAACATGGTGCTTGAGGGAACTTCAAAAGATCCTTGATTTCGTTAATGTCTCCAGAAAACATGTTCTGCCTGTTTTCTATGATGTTGATCCATCCGAGGTGCGGAAACAAACCGGAGACTATGAGAAAGCCATGTCCAAACATGAAGAGAAGTCCAGAGAAGATAAAGAGAAGATGGAGGAAGTGAAAAGATGGAGAGGAGCTCTCACACAAGTAGCCAATCTCGCTGGTTGGGATATGAGGAATAAGTAAGTAATCTTCGAACTCTTGTGCTACTTGTTCATGAAAAATCTTTAAGTAACTTTCACTTCTGAAACTAGAGATAAGTTGAGAGAAGTTATTTTATGATTCCTTCATGAGGTAACAATAAATTAGGTCCAAAATTATGTGCTCTAGGAAAGATTTTGTCGATCAACATGAAAAAATAATACTGTATTGCCTTGTTCTACACATACTTTTTGCTTGGCTTTCTTAGGTGATGATCGCTGATTTTGGTATTCTTGAACTTTTAGGTCAGAGTATGCTGAGATTGAAAAAATTGTTCAAGAAATAAACAGTATATTGGGTCACGATTTTTCAAGTCTTCCAAATGATCTAGTTGGAATTCAATCTCCTGTTGAAGAATTAGAAAAGCCTTTGTTTGCAGACCCGATTGGTGATATTCGCATCGTAGGAATTTGTGGCATGGGTGGAATAGGAAAGACAACTCTTGCTACTGTTTTGTATCATAGAATTTCTCATCAATATACTGCTCGTTGTTTCATCGACGACTTAAGCAAAGTTTATAGAGAGTCTGGTCCAACTGGGGCACTAAAGCAACTACTTTGTCAAACTCTAAATGAAGAGAACCTTCATATAAGCAATCTTTATAACGCAGCAAATTTGATACGAAGTAGGCTACGTTATGTAAAGACCCTTATGGTTCTCGATAATGTTGATGAAGTTGAACAACTAGAGAAGTTAGTTGTGGATCGCCAATGGTTTGGTGCAGGGAGTAGAATCATCATAATTTCTAGAAACAAGCATATCTTAGAAAAGTATGGAGTGGATGTAGTCTACAAAGTTCAACTCTTAAATAGTACAAATGCTCTTAAATTGTTTTCTAAAAAGGCTTTTCATAGTGAAGATATTGTGAATGATTACAAAAGTTTGACAAATGATGTGCTAGAATATGCTAAAGGCCTACCACTAGCAATCAAAGTATTGGGTTCATTTTTGTTTGGTCGAAATGTCTCGGAGTGGAGAAGTGCCATAGTTAGGCTGAGAGAGAATCCCAACAAAGATATTTTGGATGTGCTTCAAATTAGTTATGATGGACTACAAGATTTGGAAAAGCAAATATTTCTAGATATCGCTTGTTTCTTCAGCGGTTACGAGGAGTTATATGTGAGGAAAATTCTAAATTGTTGTGGATTTCATTCAGAAATCGGAATAAGAGTCCTTCTTGATAAATCACTTATAGACAATTCTTATGGATTCATCAAAATGCACGATATGCTGAAACATTTGGGCAGAAAAATTGCTAAAGGTAATTCAGCCAAAGAGCCTGAAAAGTGGAGCAGGTTATGGCTCTACGAAGATTTCTACAAGGTTATGTCGGAGGCTAAGGTAAAGTAGGTATTTAAAAATATAACTTCTGTTAATGTCTTTATTAATTATTATGACACTTTGTTCTCATTTTTATTCTTTAATTTATTCTGTTAAAGAAATGGTCATAATTCCTTCACAAAATCTTTAGATGTTTTTGTAATTTATTAATTATAATAATATATTATTGAAAATATAATAGTAAGCTAATCATCTTCTTTTATTTGTTCTCTTTTTTTTTTATACAAATTTTATGTATATTTGTAGTGGTGATTTTTTTTTTTTTTGGCAATGATTTAGGAATCAAATAATGAAGCCATTGTTTTGGACATGTCAAGAAATATGGAAGTATTGACGACTGATGCTGAAGCGATGCACAAAATGAGTCGTCTTAGGTTGCTCATATTCCATGCTGTGAAGTTTAGGGGAAGCCTCAATTTTCTTTCCAATAATCTGCAATTTCTTCAGTGGCACGGATATCCTTTCTCCTATTTACCATCAAGTTTTCAGCCGACTAAATTGGTTGAATTGATCTTGCCACATAGCAACATCAAAAAACTATGGAAAGGCGTAAAGGTATCATAAATTATCTTCTTTACTTTCTGAATATGAAATGAAAAAGAATACTATTATATATCAGCTTTAAAAAAAAAATAAAAATGTGTAACTATCTCTTCTCTTTGATCCTTTACAGTATCTGCCAAATTTAAGAGCTTTGGATCTCAGCAACTCCAAGAATCTTATCAAGGTTCCAGACTTGAGTGGGGTCCCTAATCTTGAGTGGATAATTCTTGAAGGATGCATTAAACTTGAGAGGATCCATCCCTCTGTTTGTCTTTTAAGAAAACTTGCTTTCTTGAGTTTGAAAAACTGCATAAATCTAGTAAGTCTACCCAGCAACATATTGGGTCTGAGTTCCCTTGAATATCTAAATATCTCTGGCTGTCCAAAAGTATTTAGTAACAAGCTGTTAGTTCAACCAAAACATGAGGAGCATTTTCAGATGGCTGATATGAGGGAAAATTCCATGCAATATTCCCATTCAACATCCTCTTCGATCGTCAAGAAACTTGTGTTTCCGTTCCATTTCTCTAAAGGGTATAAAAATTCAGCTGGTTATTTGTTGCCATCCTTGCCTAGCTTCTGTTGTTTGCATGACCTTGATCTAAGTTTCTGTAATCTAAGCCAAATCCCTGATGCTATTGGGTGCATGCATTCTTTAGAAACCTTAAATTTAGGGGGAAACTATTTTGTTAGCCTCCCTTCTAGCATCAAAAAGCTTTCCAAACTTGTACATTTAAACTTGCAGCATTGTAAGCAATTGAGATACTTGCCTGAGATGACATCACCTACAGCCTTGCCAGTAATAAGAGGAATCTACTCTTTTGCTCATTATGGAAGAGGGTTAGTTTTTTTCAATTGTCCTGAAATTGTTGATATTGAACGTTGTCGTGGCATGACTTTTGCATGGCTGATACAAGTCCTTCAGGTGCTCACTCTTTTCTATTCCCTACATACCTGTCATTCTCTCTTTCCATTTATGTAGTTAACTAACGATTTGAATGGATAAATTTCTTTAAAAACACTTTTGAAATAAATAATAAAATATATTTTTTCATAAATTAATTAACTTAAGCATAAGATAATAGGCAGAAATTCTCTCTTAAAGTTTCTCCAAGACAATATAAATAAACTTATGTTTAAGTTATAATTAGATTATGAAAATAATTATTTTATTTTTTTCATATTTTTTTTCTTCTCATTAGTATTTTTGTAAAAAAATTGTTCAAACATACCCTACAAACTAAGACACATTTTCGTTACTTTTGTACCAGGTGAGCCAAGAATCAGCTACCCCTATTGGTTGGATTGATATTGTTATACCTGGAAATCAAATACCAAGATGGTTCAACAATCTAAGTGTTGATACTTCAATAAGCCTAGACCCATCTCCCCTTCTGCATGACAATAACTGGATTGGCATTGCATGTAGCGTGGTATTTGTGGTATTTGATGATCCAAATACATTGAATTTTAAATTTAAATCCTCTATAGGCATTGGTTTTGAAACTAGATCTTATTCCGATCATCTCTCTATCCCAGTACTTCTTGATAGGGATCTAGTAACGATCGGATTGCATCACTTGTGGCTACTCTATTTGACTAAGGATGAATTATTTTCTTTCTTTGAAATAGAAAAAATGAGTGATCTATACGGCACCAAAATGCGAACCAATATCTGGCAATCCCAAGGTTTGCGCTTGGAGGTGAGCAGTTGCGGATATCAATGGGTATTTAAGGAGGATCTTGACAAACTAAACCCAACAATGATGCGTAGAGGATACAACAACATTCAAGTTGATGATAATTTTGTGAAAGGGGGTTCAATCCTTTGTTTAGAAGATGGAATATAATCAGGATCATAGCTTCCATCATGTTCTATAATGTGAGATGAAATGCTCATGATATATCTTTCTTTTCAATTTGTTGGCTGTGTCTGATAGTTGTTTCTGCACTTTCCCACATTTAGTTTCTTACACTTCTATGTACAAGGCTATCACTGAGGTGATTTTCCCTGAACTATATATAGCTTTTACCCATTCACAATTCAATATGGCCTTGCATGATCTTAAAATTCTTCACTTAGTATTTTGAAGAATAAGTAAACTAACTAACTTAATATATATCATTCTGTATGTTAATTAAAATGATTTATATTTAACATTAAAAAAGTTTAAAATTATGTACTTTTATAAAATAAGTATACCAAGAAACTTAATATCTTTGTGTATGTGAGATTGTTCTAACTTAGCAAATGATTTTAAACTTAAATATGTATGTGTTAAATACTTAAATAAGATAAAGTTTTTCCACTCTCACAGTGGTATTTTATGCTCTCGTCGTATTCTTGTCCATTTGGAAGAAAATTATTTCTATAAAAAAATACATGTAACTTATAAATAAAGATATAAAAAAAAATCTTGTACAAATGGTTAATCTCATTAAGTCTCGACCTGCATTACAATGGTAGTTCAATCAATGGGACAACAAAACCTAGCACAGCCCCAATTCTTATCAAGTTATCAAGAGCATATGGGCATGTTTTCATCCCTATATTACTTCAAGTAAAGCACGCTTAACTGTGGAGTTCTAATTAGATAAACTATCGAAAAACAGATGCATGTTGTCAGTATAAGTAGTACAAATTAATTCATTTAAGTCATCCTTAACTATACAATATCATATCTATACTATTTTTGGATCCCTCTCATTTTGGTGTGTTCAGACAACTATAAAAATTAAATATATATATATATATATATATATATAT